AGTAATTGATTTTATTATGATATTCCTATAAGGATCGGCCAACTTTATCCTATGTTTGCGATGTATACCCGGTTTCAACTATATCCTTTCTTGTTTTTTTTTTAACTTTGGGCTGTCAAGTGGGGCAAAATGGGAGCAAATAAAAGAGCTTCTAAAAAAATTTCAGAGTGCTCACACTGTCAATGGGCCGGCAGCGCTGCGGTATTATTTCCGTGCTATGGAAAATAAAACTTTGCCCCCCACTGATTTAGACTTACAACGAAATAATGCGAAACTTTATTAAAAAAACGTTTTAAAGTTTAAATTTATTTTTAACAAGAAAGGAAAGCTAACTTCGGGCGTAGCTGATGTTGGTATACCCTTGCAGCTAAAACAGGATATATATCGCAAAAATCGGATATAGTTGGCCGATCCTTTTGAGAACATCAAAATAAAACCAACTAATTACAATAAAATATCTTAAATCAAGTCACAAGCTTGTATCTTCATCGTTCGTATCCGATTGTTCAGTTATATGGCAGCTATAAGATATAGTCGGCCGATCGTTTTGAAATTTATTAACTGGATAACTGGTTGGATTAACTGACCAAAAATAAAATCTGTACTTACTTTAGGCTTTCTATCTTCAAAAACACAACAGTTGGGTCATTTCCGATCGTTCAGTTATATGGGAGCTATAGGATATATACGGCCGATCTTTATGAAATTTGGCAAGTCGTATTACTTTGCCAAAAATAGCTCTTATTTAAAATCTGTCTCACTTTAAAAAAACCAAAGTTATACCATTTCCGATAAATCAGTTATATGGCAGCTATAGGGTATAGTCGGCCGATCCCTGTCGTTCCGACTTATATACTGCGTGCATAAGAAAGAAGGGTGTGTGCAAAGTTTCAAGTCGATAGATTTTAAACTGAGAGACTAGTTTTCTTAGAAACAGACAGACGGGCAGATGTACGGACAGACAGACGAACAGACGGACATGCTTATATAAATTCAAGAGGTGATCTTGGTCAAGATTATATTTACTTTATAGGGTCGGAGATGTCCCCTTCACTACGTTGCACACTTTTAATCAAAATTATAATACCCTCTGCAAGGGTATAAAAATCCAGTTAAAAAGTCTTTCATAAAATGAATTTGAACAAATAATGAAATCTAACACGCAGTTAAAACAAGCTGGAGACTTTTCATTCATTTATTTACACTAATAACTGTCATTACAAAATACACATATGTATTAATAAGTAAAGGGACTTCAAAACTATTGCAACCCAAGCTCTCAATTGGAATAGCTGACTTAAGACCTTATTTCTCTCTTAACAGAGTGTCAAATATAACATTTTAGGGTTAAGGCATCACATACTATGTATTTGTATGTATGTATGAATTTGTGTACGACACATCCACTGGATTTACTAAATTAACTTTTTAGATTCATAATTTGTATTTATCAAAATCTTATTGTCAAGGCTCATTAAAAAAATATAATTATGCCCCTAACTAAGGACAGATTGTAAATAAAAATTTCAAATGTTAAAAAAAAAAAAATATTTCGTGCTTTGATTTTAGTAGAGATACCAGCCGTGTAAAATTATGTATTTTAGTCTGGTCAGAGTTTCATAAAAAGTAAACAAACCAAGCAACGCGAGGGATGAAAAAAAATTTTTTATGTCCAATCGGCAAATAAGTACCGGAAAATTTATTTCCAAAGTCGTTTCCAAAAATTATTTAATATTAACTTTTATGCACGACGCTGCCACCTGATTTGTACCTCCAATTCATGCTTTGAGGCAGAAATCATCGTCAACTTTCGTATGTTGCCAAGTTCACGAAATGGCGTTTATGCACACACGAATCGGCTGAATCGTGAATTCGGCATCGCCTATAGCTTTCACAATAGCTTTGAACTTCGAACGGTGGTCGGCAGGGCCCAATTCCAGGGGCATTAGATATTTCTCTTCCCAAGCTTGGCCGCTCACACACAGTATAAAACGTATGAAACGTCATGCTTTCAACCTACTTTCTGCTATGTCAATGTATTGGTTGCCAATCACTGAACTAAATTAAACTAAAAAAAAAAATGTAATGACACATAATACCCCAATGGTCGAATACCCCATAAAAGTTTTGATGCATAATCTAGCGCTTGGAAAAAAAACAACCGATGCCCATCTACTACTTTTTACGCCACTACAAAAAGTATATAACTCCTATACAAAATTGCCCAACAACATTAATGAACTGGAGCGCCATGGCGCTACGAGATTACTTTTTTGAAGACGGCTGTGGGCGTGTCAAAATTAAGACACTAACATGATGTGTTCCAAATCGGATAGTTTTATCTCTTATAGTCTTTGCAATCCACACATTCAAAATTTTAGTCCGCTTGTTTGGGAAATGATATATATATTATAGATGCGCATATCTCCTCCAAAAATCGGCTAATTCGGATGAAATTTGTTGTTCAGATATTTGTTAACTAATAATTCTAAAATAGTTTTGCATAGAAAGTTTTTATAAAAATTCCAATACTGGCGCTACAGAATTTCGCAGTTTGTGGGGGCGTAAGGGGGCGTGGCAAATATTTTGAACAAACAAACATTAACTGCGTGGGCATTGTAGGAGTCGTCATGCCAAATCCTATAGCTTTATCTCTTATAGTCTCTGAGATCCAAACCTTTATAAGGGCAGACGGACATGGCCATATCGACTCGGTTGTTGATGCTGATCAAGATTACTATATAGAAGAACTTTATGGGGTCGGAGATCCTTTGGTATTTTTGAGGAGATCCTTTGGTATTTTTGAGATAAAACAAGAAAGGAAAGCTAACTTCGGGCAGAGCCGAATATCATAAGAAAACCAATTAATTACAATAAAAAATCTAAAAAATAATATATTACCCTCTTCAAGGGTATAAAAGCACTATTTTGAGAAAATCGCGTTCAAAACTATCCGGCTTCCTTATGATACATACATATATGGTATTAGCCCGAAGTTAGCTTTCCTTTCTTGTTTTTATTTCATTTCTTTTATATATTTTATATTTACTTTATTATTTTTATTAACGGGACATAATTTTTAATTTTTTTGTTTCATACTACAATTAAAGATAAATAAAAACAAGAAAGGAAAGCTAACTTCGGGCGGAGGCGAGGTTCATATACCCTTGCAGTTAATACCGGATATATATCGCAAACATCGGATATAGTTGGCCGATCCTTATGATTACATCATAATAAAACCAATTAATTACAATAAAAAATCTAAAAAAAGTCCCAAGCTCCTATCTTTAAAAATACGAAAGGTGATATTTCTACCAAATACCATTTCCGATCGTTCAGTTATATGACAGCTATAGGATATAGTACACCGATCCCAATTAAATTTGGTAGGTTGGATCAACTGACCAAAGTCGGCCGATCCGGGCCGTTCCGACTTATATACTGCGTGCAAAGGAAAAAAGGGTGTGTGTAAAGTTTCAAGACGATAGCTTTAAAACTAAGAGACTAGTTGGCGTAGAAACAGACAGACAGACGGACATGCTCATATCAACTCAGGAGGTGATCCTGATCAAGAATATATATACTTTATACCCTCTGCAAGGGTATAAAAAGAAAAACTTCGAAGTCCTTAGGAGGATTAGTCGAGTAGTCGTTGATTTTCATCAAGATGCCGGCAGATGATAATTCGATCCAATCGATACTTGCTCAACAGCAAGCATTTACAAAGGACATTGTGAAACAGCAACAAAAATCGATGCAAGCAATGATGGATAAAAACACTTCTCCAGGACAGGGTACTTAAAGCCACACGGGTGAATTATCTGCGTATCCTCCACTCCAGTCTTAGCATGAACAGTTAACCCAGCATTAAAATGCGGTTAGTGCAGAAATAAAAAAAAGGCTTATTTTCTTTTGTGGTGTGGCATAAACATATTCAAACTATTGAAAAATCTGTTCGGGAGCAACAATTTGAACACGTATACATACAAGCAACTCACAGACAAGTTAACGGAACATTTCACAACAAAACGGCACGTTGTTGCTGCTCGCTATCAGTTTTTTAAAAGGAAGATAAAACATTCACAAACGCACAGAGAGTTCGTAGCCGACTTGCGCGGGATCGCTCGGGAATGCCAATTCGTCTGTAATGCCAACGGTTGTTCTTCTAACTATGTAAATGAAATGATTCGAGATCAGATCCATACATACACCATACGATGCTGTCCGTGCATCCGCTCTTAAGAAGTCCCAGCCAACTCTTGAAGATGTGCTTATAGTTGCAGAAACCTATGAGACAACTACAAAAACCGTGGCAGCCCTCTAAGAAAGAGTATCAAAGCAAAACCCAATAAACCCATTCCTTGGTGGTGGTGAAAGTGATGCCAAATCAAACAAAAGTTCGCTAAAATCATGCTCTGGTTGTGGACACAATCATGCAAGAGAGAAGTGCAAGTTTCGCGATGCAAGACAAAAGTAAATGGCAAATGCAAAAAAATCGCAAATCCGAAGCAAACGAAATCAAAACGATTGAAGCTGTAAACAGTGTTACAGGTCAAGTCAAGTGTCAGCAGAACAATATTCTTATAGATCTTGAAATCCACAGCAAGTGTGATATCATTCGAAATGGATTCCGGAACCACAGCGTCAGTGATCAACGCCACTACATACGCGGTGTTGAATAAGCCTTAATTACTCAAATGTTCCCGAGTATTACATGTTTCACACAATTGCAAAGTGCGGTGAAAAAGAGAAGCAAGTGGTCATTATCGTTGCGAACATTGAGACATCAAACAATATATTGGGAATGGATTTATTCAACATTTTCGGCTTTGATATCATGCAAGTATCAAACGTTCAAGAGGTGCACGAAGACGAATTATGTGACCTTTGCAGCACGTACAACGAAGTGTTCGAACCAGCCATGGGTGTCATAAAAGACTTTAAGGCAGTCAGCAACACCAAAGTTTTTCAAGAGCCGTCCAATTCTATTCGCACAGATGGACAAATTCAGAGCTGAGGCAGACAGAATTACACAAGCCGGAATTTGGAAGCCGCTCAAATTCAGTAATTGGGCAATTCCAATTGTGCTTGCACCGAAACCAGGTGGCGCTATTCGCATATGTGGCGATTTTAAGCATGCAGTCAACGCACAGATCGATATTGAACAGTACCCGTTACCGACAAAAGAGTCTCTGTTTCACATAATACGTCACGGAAAGCAGTTCAGCAAAATCGATTTAAAGGATGCTTATCTTCAAATGGAACTGGATGAGGATTCCAAAACTATCATGGTCGTCAACACATCCCTTGGCCCATTTCAATACCAGCGTCTTCCCTACGGGATTGCCAGTGCTCCAGCGATCTTCCAAAGGTATTTGGAGCAGCTTCTAAAAGAAGTAGAAGGATAGAAACTACTTAGATGACATCATTATCTCAGCACCTAGCAGCGAGCAACATCTAAAGCGAATCAGGAGAGGAGAAAATTAAAAACAGGAGAGGAGATAGACAACGCTGTGGAGCTTTTCACAAATTCAATTCACAAAGCGAGCTACAGAAACACGAATCATGCTCCCAATCTTCAACAACCAAAGCAATTGTACCTTTCTAATGAGCTTGACTATTAAAAGTATCAAGTATGAATAAGTTGTGACAGAAATCAAATGCTTGAACAACAAAACAGCATCAGGCCCTGACAAAATAGACGGCATCACCCTCAAAACTTTACCACCAAAATGCATTCGATTTCTCACTCTCATTATTATTATTATATGGCCATGACAACCCTTTTATCGGGTCTCGGCCTGAAGCGCAATGTGCCTCCACGCGTCTCTGTCCTGAGCGCGCCTTCGCCAGTTGGTAACACCAAGTGTGGACAGGGTTTCCATCACCTGGTCTTGCCAACGCGTTCGGGGTCGTCCTCTCCTTCGTGTCCCAACAATCACCGCATCAAACACCTTACGAGCCGGAGCGTCTTCATCCATACGGGCAACGTGGCCCAGCCAGCGAAGTCTTTGAGATTTCACTCGACTGGCTACGTCAACTCGTGGTTGTATCTGATGCGATAAACATCGTCTACGCAGATTGGATCAAAGATTTTGCGAAGAATTTTTATCTCGAACACTCCAAGAGCAGCTGCATCTGACTGCGTCACTGTCCAGCACTCCGCACCATATAGGAGTACTGGAAGAATTAGCGTCTTGTAGAGTGTGGTTTTTGTGCGTCGAGAGAGAGCTCTACTATTGAACTGCCTACTGACCAAAGTAACACCTGTTGGCAAGTGTTATTCTCCGCTTAATCTCCAGACTGACATCATTTGTGCTTGTTATAGCAGTGCCTAGGTAGATAAACTCCTTGACGGACCCAAAGCTATAGTTTTCTGCAGTCCGCTGAGAATCAAGACGCCGCGATTCTCTGCTAGAGCACATTATAAACTTTGTTATCTCCATATTCACTGCTAGTCCTACTTTTGCTGATTCCTTTTCAATAGCCCCGAAGGCTCCTGTGACATCAGCGTAACCAAGGAGCTCCACACATCTGTTGGTTAATATTGTTCCCGTCCGATGTACACCGAATACTCGTCCGAATACTCTCCATTAAAATATTGAAGAGTATACAAGACAGCGAGTCACCTTGTCTGAGGCCACACTTGGTAGTAAAGGTTTCGGATTGGCCACTTCCTACCTTGACAGAGCTGATGGTGTTGCTCAATGTCATTCTGCAAAGTCTAGTCAGCTTTACTGGTATACCAAGCTCAGACATGACGGCATATAGGCGATCTCGCCGGGGGCTATCAAATGCGGCTTTGTAGTCGACGAAGAGATGGTACGTGTCGATCTGGTTTTCGTAAGACTTCTCCAGGATTTGGCGCAAGGTGAAAATCTAGTCAACAGTGGACTTGCCAGGCCTGAACCCGCACTGATAAGGTCCAATCAGTGCTTCAGCATGGGGTTTCAGTCTTTCACACAATACGCTCGTTAGGACCTTGTATGCAACTGGAAGAAGACTAATTCCGCGGTAGTTGGTGCGCACCGTGGCATCACCCTTCTTCAGGATGGGATAAATCATGCTGAGGTTCCAATCTTAGGGCATGCTCTCCGTGAGCCATATCTTACTGATTAGTTGGTGCATGCTCCCTACCAAAATATCACCAGCTGCCTTGAACAATTCTGCCGGAAGGCCGTAAGCACCTGCAGACTTGTTGTTTTTAAGCCGTTAGATTGCATCCTTCACTTTGATATGACTTGGGATTGGCACTTCAATATCAGTGCCATAGATTGGGGTTCGTGGATCATAGTCTTCAGAGTCTGTGCTTAAGCCAGATAACAGACTCGAGAAGTGATCCCTCCATAACCTCAGCACGACCTCTGCTTCTGTGACAGGATTTCCATCATCGTCCCTGCACGCCACTGCACCAGTCTTAAATCCTTGGGTCAGACGCTTGACCCTCTGGTAAAAGTTACGTGCTTCATTTCTGCATCTGCTGCTCTTTGTCGGAGTCTATGTTGGGACCCCGACAGGATCGCACGTCGAGTATATTAGATGCGTGTCTTGCATCGATCACAACATGATCGATCTGATTTCTGCTCAGTCGATCGGGAGAGAGCCAAGATGCTTTATGGATGTCCAAATGACGAAATCCAGTACTACGAACTACCATATTATGCGCAGCTGAAAAGCCTATTAATCTGAGACCATTGCTCGAGGTGGTCTCATTTAGACTAAATCGACAGCGGCACCAAAGATGTCTTCTCGTCCTACCTTGGCATTAAAATTTCCGAGGAGAATTTTAATGTCATGGGAAGGACAGCCGCCATAAGCTCGATCGAGCTCCGCATAGAAAGCGTCCTTGGTGGCATCATCCTTTTCCCCCGTTGGGGCATGTGCGCATATCAGGCTCATATGTGCGCATATCATCAGCACAAAATCGCATTAACGCAGGCGTCCCACAAGGAAGCGTTCTGGGGCCAATTCTGTACACCCAATACGCGGCTGACATGCCAGGTACAAACACATGCACTGTTGCAACATATGCAAAAATGAAGCATCCGAACTCCTGCAGCGTGAGCTAAGCCTAAATGAAGACTGGTTTCTTCGATGGAAAATAAGAATAAACTCCCTAAAATCAGTCCAAATCACTTTTTCATTAAGACCAGGCAGCTGCCCAAATGTTCCACTTAACGGCTCACCAATTCCCCAAACTACATGTGTAAAGTATTTCGGGTTGCATCTCGACCGCAGATTAACAAGGAAAAATTATATCAAATCAAAATGTCAACAGCTCAGACTTAAAACACTAAAAATGTCCTGGTTGTTAAGACGAAAATCACAAACCACTCTGGAAAACAAAATCCGCCTCTACAAAGCCATACTAAAGCCCGTCTGGACCTATGCGATACAGCTCTGGGGAGCAGCTAGCAACTCGAATATTGAAATTCTTCAGCGTTACCAATCCAAAACGTTGAGACAAATTGTCAATGCTCCATTCTACGTTGCTAATGCAAACATTCATAAAGATCTCAACATCCCAACCATAAAAGAATAAATAAAAAAAATTTGTTAGAAATACATCGACAGACTCCGCAATCACGAAAATAATTTAGCATTAAATTTAGTGGACAATAGCTTAACAGTTAGAAGACTGAAAAGATACCATATTCTCGATCTTCCCGATAGATAAATTAAAAATACTGTAAATATGTAAAGTAACAGTAAATATGTTGGAAAACTGCTATTTCTGTTAACTTAACATTCTTTATAAAATTTACTTATTGTTTTTAATAGACAGATTGTAAATAAATAAATACCCATAAAAAAAAAAAAAAAAATTGTCTGCGAAAAGGTCACACGGTTGCGAAGTGTAAATCGACTAGGTGTCAAATTTGTGCAAGATCGCACCATAAACTTCTTCTGCAGTTTCCTGTGTCCGAAAATAACTTAGCGTTACCACCACCAAATGTTTTCATTCCGTCTCCAGCGCTTCATCTTGATGGGCCTTTAACTTCACATGCTTTGCATGCGTCATCCCTAGAAAGGGTTTTGTTAGCGACGTCGATCTTAAGCGTTAGAATTGAAAATTGCGAGCACATATTGGCTCGATCATTACTTGACACTCTGGGACACAAATGATCTTCATTACTGAAGATCTTGCTTAACGCTTACAGATTTGTAGGGAGGAATCGTGCATCAACTTCCCAAGCTAATTCCCAGGTTAAGAAAAAGATACACACTGTGGTGAAGTCAACATAAGGCTAATACATCAACTCCTAAACAGCCTGTCTCTAGCCTTAATGCCAAGAAGAATTACTCGAGTCGATAGATGACAATTTGAAAAAATTCTGATCGTTGGAAGAAGTACCAACTTCTAAAAAGCTTTTGTCACCTGAACAGGAGTTATTTGAGGAAAACTAGGAGAAAAATACTGTTTTACCGCCTTCAGTTCGATTTGAAGTCAGGCTTCCATTTAAATCGGATCCATGCGTTTTGGGAAATTCCCTCGAGGTAGCCAAACGCCGTTTTTTGTCGCTCGAGGAAAGATTATCTCGAGATCCGAATTAAAAGAAAATGTATTTGGAATATACGTCATATGTCCCCTGCAAGCAATGATGTTCTTGCTACTCCACACTACGTCATACCCCATCACTGTGTTTTACGGCCTCAAAGCACATCGACCAAATTACGAGTCGTGTTTGATGCGTCTTGAAGACATCAACACAGAAGTAAATCTTCATTGGATTCGTTCTTATCCATAGTCGTTGTCAACGTTCGTATCGAATAGAGTTGAGAGGATATTTCTCTCACCTAAAACTGCTGCGAGTGTTCGTTTAAATGGTCCGCTTTATAAGCAAATCGAAGAGATTAGTAGTGAATTCGGATATTGTTCCTTCACTTGTCGAATATAATGAAGCCTTTAAGAAAATATTCGATTAATTGTCCAAGAGCACGAGTATCAAGGTGAAATAAAAAAGATAAAAAAAAATTTAATTGTTAGCCCTAGTATACAAAAGCTAAATCCTTTTTTACACGAATAATCAGAGGCTGCGCTTACCTTTTTGTTGTTGTGGGTTGGGGCGGCTAGTTAATGCTCCTATATCGTACGATGCCAAGTTTCCAGTATTGTTGACAAAACGCTCTCAATTTGTTCAGAGCTACGTCCCATACTTAATGTGGGACCATGTAATGTGAGTCTTTTGCGACAGCACATATGGATGGTAAATGCGCAGGAAGTTTGCAGTCTGCTGCTTTAAATGCAAGCCTCGTCTGATGACTCAAATCATGGTAGATTTACCCTTGGATTGAATTCGTGCTTGTTGTGTTCTCGTTGAGTTCTATTTCAGACTGTTTTCTTAAATGCGAAGCTTACAGAGTTGCCAGATTCTTAAAGTACTACATAGGTGTATAGGTGTATAGA